CACATTGATGATCTTAGCTGAATTTCTAACAGTTCTTATCATATAGTTAGAAAGCCAGAAAAATTATGATAGTTGTAGTATATTTTATGTATTGTTATTCTATGTTCTTAGATGCATTGTTTAGTTGAATAAAAAATTATTTATTGCAGTATTACCATTAGTATAATAAAAGACACAAGTAAGTACTATATTTCTAATCTAACCTTAACTGACCTAAAGAGATCCCAATTTTTTACATTTTAGTTCCTTTTATAAAAATAAATAAAGAATGAATAAAAAAAACAAGAAATAAAGAACTTTCCTGAATCTTATTTTTTCTTGCTGTTGATGACACTTAACTGTACTTTTTTATACTAATGACAGTAATGTACTAAATAATTTTTATTTAATTAAATAATGCACCAAAAAAACACAGAATAATAACATGCAAAAAGTAGACAATTTTCCCTGACTACCACAAATTCATCCAAGCTAGTCATTATCTTTCCCATTGGAATAAAGCTTGTACTAACTGAGATATTCTCCATTCACTAAACAATGTTATATGTCATTTGATAGATGAAAACTTTGACTTTCTCTTGGTTACAGATAATTTAGAATTAAACGTAAGAGAGAACTATTAACAAACCCTGAAAGAGGGGATGTGATGGGTGGGTGTGGAAAGAGGGATACAATCTTCTATTTGATAGCTCAGAAACCAAACAAGATTGAAGGCTATAAAAAATTATAGTTTGTCTGAGCAACGACAAATTTATAATGTGGAATTTCCGTTAAATTTCATACTTATTGGAGGGATGGTGAATAAAATAGACCATTTTATACTGGTCTATAACGAAGATTTGTGTGTAGTTAGCAAAAGTATAATAAAATTGTCTGAATTCTCTAGTTTTTAATGGCCTAGAGAAAATGTGTCACACTAGGGGAATTCAGGATTTTTTTTAAATATTGCCATATAAAATTAAGATAAATGTTAGTCTTAGGGCAGCACGCATTTCAACAAAAGCACATTTGTATACCAATAAAGAATATGCTTAGAATTAAAGCAGTTACAGAAAAAAATATTAACAAATGTTAATTTACTTAGTAATACAATTACTCAGTATGTTGCCAGATTTTTTTTTTCACCAGACCCATCTTAGTAATACAGTTACTCAGCTTATTGTCAGGTTTCTTTACAAGACCCATCTTAGTAATACAATCGCTCAGCTTGTTACCAGGTTTCTTTACAAGACCCATCTTAGTAATACAATCTCTCAGCTTGTTACCAGGTTTCTTTACAAGACCCATCTTAGTAATACAATCTCTCAGCTTGTTACCAGGTTTCTTTACAAAACCCATCTAAGTAATACAATCTCTCAGCTTGTTACCAGGTTTCTTTACAAAACCCATCTTAGTAATACAATCTCTCAACTTGTTATCAGGTCACATTCCTTTACAAGTAGTGTTTTACCAATAATTGGTTTGGCAATAGAAATAGGGCTGATTATTGCATAATCAGGTGACACTTGGAACTGGTAAAATTTGTCAATGTCCCGATCATGAAAAAACAATTACCAAGAAATTAAAAATAACACTACCCAGACCAGTTTATTCACAACAACAGTTTTCTGATTTGTAAGCATGTTTGCATTCATGACCATGTACCTTTCCTCCATCTTTTTTATCGTGTTACAACAATCAGTTTCTCATTTAGTTACATAAATTGATACACTGAACGAGAGAGAGGTTAAAAAATACTGTGTGCTTGCCAGATATCCAATGAAGTTCTAAGGATGATACACCATGTGGTTTCCTGTTAGTACTGCACTATGGTTTTCTGCACTGTAAGTTTTATGGTCAGTTCACTAGTTCTTAGGAGTAAACATTTTTTGTGCTCTTTTTACAATGTCTGTCTTGCAGCACTGGTCATGTCTCAAATTCATGCCAAGAAAAAGACATTTAGCTATTATTATTATTGTTGCACCTTCCAAAGGCTGCTTTAGGACATGGCTTCT